TAAGACGAGATCCCTCATTTCTTTTGGTCCGTGTGACACGATTACATTGGAAAATGATCCTTAATATCATTCTTCCATCATGTTTTTAGCATGGATATAAACTTGTTCGACCTCCTATAGCTTGATCTTCGTCATAGATCGATCTACAACGATTTAGCACTACATTTCATCCCAATTCAATTCACAAATCAACTAACGACTAACTTTACTTTCCGTCAACATATTCTTGTTTTACTTTTCAGTCAATATACTCTTGTTTTAAATTCAGTCATTATATCTTGATATATATTATCTTGTTCATTTACTTATTAATATTATCTTAATTACACTATTATGAATATTATCTTGATTATATTGTTATATATCTTGTTAGACTATTCACCTTGTTCATTTATTCATATTATTCATATTCATATTCATCTTATTCATATCTTATTCACATTCTTTTCAAAACACGTAATAAGCGATCGAAACCTAAAATTCTAAATTGGTGGACTGTTGGTTATTTGTCCGAGCAACAGATTTTTGGACTTTGTCAGAAACCCTAACTTGGAGTTTTGTCTGACTTTTGTTCAAGGCATAGTTTAGGACACTTCGCACACACACGACTTTCTCTTGGGCTACCTTACAACGAGACCTTTTATTTCGTGCAATCCCGTGTAATTTACATGTACCTCTCTCGCATTTCGATGTACGCATTCGTATTTCTTTGATTATGGTTTATCTTCTAGGAGCACCCTTATGGACTAGCGTAGACTAAACTATTTTCAAACTAATTCTCAATTCGTCATCGAGCCATTTTCAAACACCCCTCGTAAGTTGAGTGCTCGTCCGTATTCACCATCAACCTATCACACATACTTTCACATTTCATCGTGGTTTCGATATAGGGGGCACCCTCAGGGACTAGTGTCATTTCTCACAATCTAACCCTTGATTTGTCATCAACCCGGTTCCATTTTCAATCAAACCCTCAACTTGTCGTCGAGCCATTTTTCAAATTAACCTTCTTTCATTCCAACACGTTTTTGAATGCAAGTAAAAGTCAAACCCTTGATCCAACGTCAAGCGGTATTTTTAGCCAAGTTGTAAGTCGAGTGTCTTTTGCCTCATATTCCACCTCTTTTTGTAACCAATTCGATTCAATCTTTTTACAAACGCTTTTCTTAAACAAATAACGAAAGAAGAAGATTCTTGGAGTCTAGCATTCCTCGAATCTTTGAATGAATGGCTCTTGAGGCACACGCTTTGGGTTGTCGTTTATTCACCCTTTCATCTTAAAACACCTAATCTCTATTCAAACATTTTCTAATCAAACTTACGAAAGAAGGAGATTCTTGGAGTCTAGCATTCCTTGAATCTTCAAATGATTAGCTCTCGTGGCACGCCCCTTGAGTTGTTATTCATTCAATCTTTCAAATTCAAAATGTTCAACCGTTCTCAAAACATTTTCAATCAGCTCCTGAAAGAACTGAGTTCTTGGAATCTCGTGTTCCTTGAATTCTTGAGTGACAGATCTTGAGGATGAGGGTTGTTTGTCATTCAATTTCTTTTCTCAACCAACTTCAATACTGATTCAATATCATATTTTCGTGGTCGTCTCCACGAACTACAAACGCTCTGATTCTTCATTCTTGTCTGAATGTAAGACACGTAGGCACAAGATTGCAATCATCTTGGCGATCTACCTTCCCTCTATCTTTCGTTTCCCCTCATCTTTTCCCGTAGTCGAACTACGAGAGCTCTGATTTCTCATTCTCGTCCGAATGAGCATACATAGGCACAAGGGCCCCAATCTTTGGCGAGCACCCTATCCTATAACCATCCATTTTCCCTTGGCATCTTATCCCTTTTATCCTACCAATTCATATTCATTATTGAGAAGAAAACAAGCAAACTTAGATAATTCCCATCGCAAATCACCCTAAAAGGTTCTCGCAATCATGAAAATGTCTTACGTATTTTTATCATATGTTACTTGTAGTTTATGCGACAAAAAAGGTGTAGTCATTTTTTTTGGTATGACGAAGAGATGACCCCAAGAGTAAAAGAAATAATAACATCTTTGAAGGAAAAATTATGCTCAGAGAAGAATAAGGTTAATGAATGCAGGGTCAAAGAGGATGAGCTGAAGATGAAGATCAAGCTCCTTAATATGCAACTGAAGTTTACATGTGTTATGAGCTTTGTACTGTTATTAGGTTTAGTTGTAACAAGTGTAATGAAGTAGGTTGTGGTTAAAAAATGATGTAGTATGTTTATGGTTTAGTTGTAACAAGTGTCATGAAGTAAGTTGTGGTTAAAAAATGATGTAGTATGTTTATGGTTTAGTTGTAACAAGTGTCATGAAGTAGGTTGTGGTTAAAAAATGATGTAGTATGTTTATGGTTTAGTTGTAATAAGTGTAATGAATCTGACAATATGAATGTAACCTATGAATTGATGAATGAGAATGATGATTTTTGATTTAATATGTTTATGTTTTATATTGTATTTGGTTTAATATGTTTATGTTTATATGGTATTTGGTTTATATGGTATTTGACTTGTTGAATTGTTGAATTAGCAAATGCAAATGCATATTATTATAGCAGATTCATATTATAAAACACATTCCATTTGTTTATACATTGTACATGTTCCAATTATAGGACATGTTCCAATTATAGTCATTACATAGGACATGTTCCAATTAAAGGACATGTTAGTTTCAAATAATAAGACATGTCATATTCCAATAACAAATGTAGATGGTTGCTTCAAATAATGCATAATTAACTGACAATGAAGTTGATATATTTAACATTACTTCATAATGATATCATTAAAGTCATTACATAGACAATAACTTGTTCCAATACATGGACAACAAAGCCACATAATTCAAAGACTTGATCAAGCACATAAATCACAAACTGATTACAAAATGACACAAACCACAAAATGTCATAAAACCTAACTATTACAAACTGACATCAAGCACATAAACCTAATTTGAACTAATCTTGAGAAGGTTGCGGTGTTTGTGATGAATTCTCAATTTCTGTTATAGCTACCTTTGTCTTCTTTCCACATTTTGTTTCAATTTTCTGTCTCTTTCCATCCTTTGATGCCTTGCCCTTCTTTTTGTTAGCACCTTTGAGAATGGCTCTCAATAGCCCTCTTTCCTTTGTAACTCCTTTTGTTGTGTCTCATGGCACCACATTTATGATAACTCACAATTGTAAGCTTCTTAAGAAGTATATGTGGATTTCTTGGTTCATCATTCACTTTATTCCTCAGCTTCTTGGGTCAACCAACGACCCTTCTGAGCACTGAGAATTTGATAGGTGCATGACCCTCCAACAAAGGTCGTAGCTGGGGCCCATTTGTAGGGTATATTATATGTGAATAATTGTTATTGAAAAAAGACTATCTGCACAACCAATTCAATAATATCTCAGCAGAAATTAAGTCATAATAAGCAAACATAATAAGCACATACATATGGTGAATGCACATACTTGTAATATTCAGAGACATAATCTTCAGTTTTTTTCCTTGTTTTTCCATATACATGATATGACATGACTACAAGGAATACCAGTCAAATCTCATTTTCTATAAGCATGTGTGTGTTGTTTCAGATCTACAAAGTATGTATCTATGCCATTGGTGACACCAGATGGAAAAATCATCATCACCATGCCATGTGGGTGTCCAACTTTCTGCATGTTTTTTGTTCTTTTCAAGTAGCCATCGAATTCTAGGGCAAATATCATCTTTCTTTTCTATCCCTCCCTCCACATTGTCATCTTCATTTCCTATTCCTCCATCCACATTGTCATGTTCCTTTCTCTCCATATTGTCATATTCATTTCCTACCCCTCCCTTCACATTGTTATCTTCATTTCCCATTCATCACTCCACATTGTCATGTTTCTTTCCTAGCTCAGCCTCATCTATAATATCAGGAGTATAAACTGAGTGATCTACATACACATGTACAACTTCATATTCCTTAATATCAGCAATAAATTTCAGCAAATCTTCATCAGAATTTTGGGGTCTAAGGCCACGCGAAAAACTATACTTAGAGTTCCAATAACATAAACACTTAACATTGGTATATCCCTCATTGTGAATCAAATTTTCCAATTGCATATAGGACACATAATTCATATCCCATTCCTAGTTCATTTTAGAAATTACCCCGTTAACATACCACTTCATAGGTTTAGACACTAACTTTTCCCTAAGATGAAATCGTATCCTAATGCCTTGATTTTGACTTGGTCTGTAATATAAACAAGGGTTCAGAATAAACATCAATATTTGGAACCACATTCATAATAAACCTTAATTCAGACTAAACAATATTAATTGGGACCATATTCAGAATAAACAACATTTTTTGGACCATATTCAGAATAAACAAGAAGAAGAAGGGACCGCATGTTTCAGAAATGGAAATATTATACGTAAAAACCATAAACCCTAATTCTAGTAAAAAAAATTCACTTACCTCATACAATATTTCACTTGTTCCTTACTTTTCGTTCTTGCTTGATCTTTAATTTTCATGGTGATTTCGTGTTTGCGGAAAGTTGATGAAATTATGGAAGGAGATGAAGAATTTAGAGAATGAGAAGATGAAATTAGGGTTCCTTTTATATAAACACGATCAATTAAAAATATTCAAATTTTAAAATTTTATTAAAAAAATAAAAATAAAAATTTCATGTCATGTCATTAAATTGATCAACTCATTAAATAACACGACATCTGACTTACCATATTAAATTACTATTTTAAACGCCACATAATCAAAACAGAAGAAAATTAAAAAAAATCCCAAAAAATAATAATTTGAAGAATAAAAAAATTGAAAAAATTAAAAGACGAACTAAAACATAAGATAACTAAAAGTGCAATTAAACCTATTTTGTGTTAATTAATTTTTAGTGCCGGTGTTTTATAAGGTATCGTGTGTTGAGAATCGTCGTTGGTGAATAGGTACGATGGCGAACGGTGGTGGAAAGGTCTCGTTCAAAGTGACCCTAACCTCCGATCCAAAGCTACCCTTCAAAGTGTATGTCATCATCTCTCTCATTTTTCTTTTACATCGTTCTCGATCATTCCAATTTTCCTTTTTTTCCTCACGATTTCAGGTTCAGCGTTCCTGAAGCTGCACCTTTTACCGCCGTTCTCAAATTTGCGGCAGAAGAATTCAAGGTTCCTCCACAAACCAGCGCTATCATCACCAATGGTAATTGCTTTTATCATCACGTATTTCGATTTTTTTTATTTGATTATTGCACCGATTAGGTCATAAACAGATTGATTTATCCGATTTTGGGGAATATGTAGTGTTGTCAATCTCGATCTTTAAATTAGTTATGACATGACTGTGATCTGCTTCTGCATGGTTGTTCTTGTCATGGCTGCTATAAGCGGCATTGTGGAGATAGGGAGTTTGGGTAGCCTTGATGCATTTTTGAGGTTATTCATGTACATTATTGTATCTAGTTTCTATGTTTCTTTCACTATATCTGGTCCTTCCCTAGTTATACATTCTATATTTCTCTAATAAAATTTATCCCTATTAAATTGTTATCTTGCTTGGGATGCCGCTTCTGAGGTTGGCCTCTGAGACATAAATATATTCCTTGTGGGTTTTGTTGTAGAGAAGGGATAAAAACACTCAATTTCTGTCTATAATTCAGTGTCATTGTAATGGTCAGTATAATCAGAAGATGGCGGCTCTATGGATCAATAGTGTAGTGATTTCGAAGAATTCACTTTGAAAACTATGAAGGCATCTCAATTTCGCTATAAGGACAATAGCAGCTGCTATTTTAAACCTATATGCTCCAGAAAAGAAAGGTATTTAGATTGCCTATATTTGACCTATCAAGTATATGAATGGTAGGGACACTCCACGACTAGTGTGAAAATGCTAAGATGGGGCTACAAAATACTTTTCCATAATAACTACAAGACTCTCCATAAATCTTTTTACCTTAGTCTTAAATGTACTAATGGAGCACATTCAAGAGCTAACACGGATGCATGCTTTTTGAAAATGTTATAGCCCAGTTTTGAGTCAAATAAATGGGTGCTTACTAGAGACCCGGAGACAAGGTTTAGAAGCAGATGGCTTCCATTTGAGAAGAAAAAGCATATGGAATATAAGTTTAGATAAAGCTAAAGCATCCTTGCTTAGAGGGGAAAGTTAGAGACCATGTACCACAAATTACACAATTTGAATATCTAGGGTCCACTGTACTAAAAGACGCAGAAATAGAGGGAGATATGAACTATTAGATTCAACAGATTAGTCGAATTGACATAGAGTAGGGCCTTATGTATTTATATGATTACAAGGGGCTACTCTAAGGAGCAGAAAAATTCCACACAACTATAAGATCGACAATATTGCATGGAGTGGAGTCTTAGGCAGTAAAAAGACATCATGAGAATAAATTTACTGTAACAAATATGAGAATGTTGCACTAGATTAGTGAAAATACTTGACAGGATATGATTAAGAATGATAGAAAGAGAGAGAATTGGGATAACACCTATTGTAGAAATGATGGTTGAATTTCAACTTAGGAGGTTTGGGCACAAATGGAGGAGACTTGTAAATTCCTTGGTAAGTAGAGTACATCATATGGATGGTAGCCCAATCACTAGAAGGAGAGGAGGGATAATAAAAAGCTGTAGTTGAAACTATTCAATGAGACTTAGAGATCAATAGTTTGACTAAGTATCGACATGATCAATGATTGAATATTACTTATATCGTTGTTTGATCAATCTAGCCAACCCTGCTGAATGGGATAAAGCTGGGTTGTTGTTAAAAGCTAACTTGCAATCATTTGGTATATACTATCTCATGGAAGTTTCGGGGTCAAGTGTCTTTCTTACCATCATTTAATTTTAACGTTGACTAGTGAGAAATAGGAAAAGAAGAAAAGTTCATTAATTTGTTGAACATTTAAGGTCTATTTGGTTTTAGACATTATTTTTGTTTACATTTTTTCTGTTCATTTTTTGTTACAAAACAATCATGTAATTTCACTATGTTTTCTGTATTCAAATGTTCATATAGGAAACAGTTAAAACACTTTTTTTTTTCACCGCTCTGCACATTGAAAACAGAAAAAAGTGAAACTAAAGAGTCGGTTTTGCTAATCAACTTTAAAACGAAATGTTTTCCGAAACCAAGGAGACCCTTAACTACTACCTCCGTCCCTAATTATAAGACCCTATTGAGTTTTTCTCTTGTCCCTTTTTATTAGACCCTCTTCATTATTTTTTTTCACCCAAACCCCTAATTATATTACATCTTTTTTGCACTATGTAATAAATACAGTTACATAGACATTAACTATTTCTCTCTCCTAAGGATAAACTTGTAAAATTATACAAAAAAGTCAATAAATTAAATACTCTAACCAACTTTCTTAATTCCCGTGATTTTCCTAATGGGGTCTTATATTTAGGGACCGAGGTAGTGAAACATAGAGGTAGCAATGGTCAGTTAAATGTTTGGTAAAAGGAGAGTGGGCTTAATAGGATCAAACAGTGTGGCAGATACAATTGTTGCTGGTAGTTGTCCAATGTCAGGTATAAGAACCACTATAAGCCCCTGTTGGTGCTGTGCCTTGCAGCATGTCTCGTCTTTCAAATTGAGTTAACTCCTTTCCCCATATAAAACAGGGTTCAGTGCCGTTTATGAATCAAAAAGTAGCTCTGTTTGTTCTGTTTGTACTGTTTGTACTTTTTGCACTACATATCTTGTTCTGGTGGTGTCCTATGTTTCATCTTATGATTTCTCTTTACATTTGAAAAAAAAAATCATGGTAAATTGCATAAATATAAGAGTTTTGTTGGGTGTTTTAACAAGTGATGGTATACCTGGATGTTGAACATAATGCGAGAATGCAAGAAAATTACCTGGATGTTGAACATAATGCGAGAATGCAAGAAAATTTCCTGGATGTTGAACATAATGCGAGAATGCAAGAAAATTTCCTGGATGTTGGAACATAATGCAAGAATGCAAGAAAATTTGCTCATTCTTCAATGTTTCTGTTATATTACTATTAATCACAGGCTTGCTATAACTCTTGTTACTTGCTATGCTTGCAGATGGTGTTGGGATAAATCCTCAGCAAAGTGCAGGTATATCCTTGGTTTTTTTTTTTGGTGCCTATCTTTTATTTGTTTTTGTTGTATGTCACTTGACAAATTTGCATATCTTTTCTTTTTTTGGGTGCTTTGCTGCATGCCTTTATTGAAGTATATTAGAAAATTCATCATATTTTCTTGATCAAATATCTTCTGGTACAAATTTTCTCCTTAAAATTTCATAAAGATAATTATTAAAACAACCAAAAACAAGCAGAATGTTGCATTCACGACTTTTCCTTTTTCTCTGTGAATTCACTATACATCGGTATGCGGATAATCAGACATTCTGTTCCAACGTTCTGACATTGGTTTTGGTACTACCCCTAAAATGGCTGTGTTTGTTGATCTAACATATATACTGTGACACTTATTTCAGGAAATGTCTTCCTTAAGCATGGTTCAGAACTACGGCTGATTCCACGTGATAGAGTTGGTGCATCTGAGATGTTACAGGGTGTCTGAGTTAAACACTTTCTTTATCTGTCTTGTTGGCTGTTGTAGTTCAATAAACACTAGTGCTTTATTTATATCATGTAATTGGTATTAACAGTGCCCTTTTGACAATGTTTAGTCCAATAATAAATAGCATCTGCCTCCTCCCATAGCGACTATGTTTCTAATTCAGGCTTGTGCAAAAATTATTCAACAAGTGAGTTTGTAATCGAAATAGGGGGAATGTATATCTTCTTGCTTTTGACAAAAATTGTCGTCTGATCTGCAACCTTGTAATTTTCAATATTTTGTGACATGCGATTCTCGTAAATCTAGAGTAAATTTCTAATGACTAGTAAAATCCACATCTCTAATGTTTAAAGTTAAGCTTCCTAGTACCACAAGCCACCACAAACCCCTATATATTGTTGGTATGATTTGGACATTTTTTTGTTGCAATTTAACATTGCTCCATGTAGAGGATTATGTTTGAATCCAGTGTATCCGGTCAAAGAGGAAAGAGACATTTATCATCTCAACTCTCAGATGAAAGTTAGGAAATCATGATTTGTGAAAACGCAATTAGCTGCGTGATATATTCCAAACTATGATTACTTTTCTGTATATTTAACAAAGGGGAAAAGGTCTGTTCAATTCTCTTTTATTTCAGCTTGTTTACTCACCTCCCAATGGGACTTTATGCGAATCATGAACTTTATTCCACCAGATCTGATTTGGTTATATATTCATCATGTTTTCAATTTTTAGATATCAAATAGTAGTTTTAATCTAGGAATCATAAACATCAATATATTTAATTCTTAATGTAGCGATTTGTTGGAGAGAATGAAGGATCATCTAAGCCGTTGATTCTCTTAACTATAATGGGATGGTTGTTATGGATTGTTCTCATTTTTCATACTACTGTCAACTATTAGATCAAAATAAATAATTGAGATTATTAATTTTTACTTATGTGTTTTGCACTTGTTATCTGCTCAAAGAGATGTTGACCACGGAAGGAAAGAGTTTCTTATGGAGGAGTGACAGGAATGAAAATACACATCTTTATTTTTAAATCTGAAATTTGTAATTATATAGTCTAAACATGGTTGTTTATTTATATTTTTTAATTATACAATTTTTAAAATAAAATAAATAAAATATTAAATAATTTTAAAAGTTTATAGAAATTTGAATAGTTGATATTCAATAAAATTATTTTGACTTTATTTAAAATAATTAATTAAATGAACAATTTAGATCTGACATACTAAACTCAAATATTTACAAAATTACACCGGTATAAAATTTGATGATTAATTAAATGAAACAATTTAGATTTGACTTAAGAAATTTATACATTTACAAAATTACTTCAGTATAATATTTAAGTAGCGTGTTAGTAAAAATATAAAACTCAAGTTGTGTAACACTGTTTATCAATGTTTTATTAAATATATATTTTAAATTTTGATTGATTTTGTAGTGATATATTTGTGAGGGTTTATAAAGAACGTTGAGATTTTATTGTCTGCAAGTAGCGACGTGATCATATTGTCCACGAGGGGGAGATATCACCCACGACGCTCCCCACTTGCTCAGGATAGGAAACATGGGAAATGATGTGCTCGAGTTAGAGATAATGTGAAAGAGTCAATGAAATAACCCAAGTCTCCTTAAAAAATATGGATTGAACAATCCATTATTATTAGGGTGAGCGGTTGTAAAACCCCCTAAAAATCAGGACCATATGCCTATATAAATACCCCAACCTTAGGGTTGAGGAGGACATTCTGAATTCACCATGAAATACTCTCAAAATACAGAGCTTTTCACCCTCACGAGCTTGCTCCAACTTCACAAAAAACACCTCAAAACAGGATTTCTTACAATCGTGAGCTTGCCTTAACCCCCGAAAATCCTACAGTCGCGCATATGTACTTTTTTTCAGCAAGTACAGTGCGCCACAATAAAACTAACATGGGCCATACCTTTATTTATCACTACCATTTTCACCTATTTCTCTCGAAAATGGCCAAGAAAGATCCACGTTTCATGGTTAGCACAATTGTCAGAGGTTTCTCCTGTGGAGGAAGTTCTAGCTTTTCCTGGAGGAAATACGCCAGACAAGTAATGATTGCGAACATAATATTCCTAGATATCTCCAAAGTCATGGGGAGATGACTAGGGGCCAAAATCGTTTTCTCTAACAATGGTGTCGTTAGAGTCTATCCTCATGACAATGACCCCATGGTCATCATTATACAATATGATAACTATGATATCAATTCTTGATAAATCTGAGAAACTTAGTAGACATCCTATTCTGGAGCACCTTCCAGAAGTTCCAAATTGATCCCGATGACATTAAGGCATTCCAGGGTTCGCCAGTAGGTTTGTCAGGTGAGCAGGTGCAAGTAAGGGGTCACATAACCATGGAAATGACCTACAATGCAGAAGCAGATTTCAAGGCGATCAAAACCAACTGCCTCATGGTAGATGCCTTATCGCCATATAACATTGTCCTTGGCATGCCTACTATCAATACATTAGAGGCAATTATATCCACCCAGTACCTGATCCTGAAATACTAGTTACTCAGCGGGCGGGTCAGGATGGTCCGATGAAATCAGGAAAACATCAACGAGTGTTATCAGAGCAGGACGACGATGAGGAAGAAGGACGTCTCTCACGAGGTTGTCCTTTTTATGAGGCGCATTACAAAGACAAAATGAGTTGGGATATGAACGTGGAGAACAAGAGACTCACACCCATATCTGAAGGAGGTTTAGATAGGTCCTTTGGGTCACCAAGTAACAAAGATAGGAACCTTGCTTTTGGAAGAAGAAGAGCATGAACTAGTCGACTAACTCAGAAGAAACATTAACTTATTCGCCTTATCCCCCTCCAACATGCAAGGCAAAGATAGTAGAGTGGCATGCCATCGCCTCGTCGTCAATCCCTATGTGAGACCAGTGACTCAAAGGAAGCGGAGAGTTGGAAAGGAGAAAAGAGTCGTCACCGATGAAGAAGTGAGCAAAATAGCAAGCGTCAACTTCATTACAGAAGTAACATAACCAACCTAGCTAGCTAATGGCATCCTAGTGAACAAAACATCAAACAAGCGGTGCATAATTTTACTGACCTTAATATAGCCTATCTCAAGGACCCTTATGCCTTGCTAGATATCAATTTCTTGATTGATGGGTCCTCGGGCTACAAGATCCTGAGTTTTGTGGATGCCTACTTAGGGTAAAACTAGATTAATATGGATCCCCTAGATGCACCCAAGAGAAGGTTTATGTCAAACCACAACACCTATGGTTATAATGGTATGCCTTTTGGTCTAAAGAATGTAGGCGCCACCTACCATCGACTTATGGACGCAATGTTATCACAACCATATAGTGAAACTCCTAAGTCGACATTATCGACTCCATGATAGTAAAGACTTTAGAGGGGTATAAACATGCAACATACCTGAGGGATGTATTGGGGTCAGTCAGGAAGTATAATATGAGCCTAAACCCTGTTAAGTGCTTCTTCAGGGTGCAAGAAGAAAGCTTTCTTGGTTTCATATTGACCAAAAGAGGGATCGAGGTGAACCCAGACGAGCTTCAAGCCATCGTCAACATGAGAATCCCCACCAATGTCAGTCAGGTCCAACAACTTATAGGTTGTCTCGCCGCTTTATCTCGTTTTCTCTCCTGTGAAAGCGACAAGACCATCCTTTTCTTCGTCGCCCTGAAAATGAAGGAGAAGTTCATATGGACATGGGAATGCAAGGAGGCATTCTCAAGAGTAAAATCCTTCCTCACATTACCGTCTATCCTCACTCTCCCAAAAATAGGGTCGTCATTGCTCCTCTACCTTTCAATCATAAATCTGGCGATAAGTTCCGTACTTATCCAAGATACGGACAAGTCAGAGCGGCTTGTGTATTTTGTAAGAAAAGTGTTTACAAGCGCTGAGACCCGTTATCACAAGATCTAGAAATAAGCTTTGACTGTTGTCGTCATGGAAAGGAAGCTTGGACCATATTTCCAAGGCCATATAGTACTCGTAAAGACCAACTATTCTGCCCGATAGGTCTTTAAAAATCCAAATCTAACAGGAAGAATGGCTTCTTGGGAGGTAGAAATCTCAGCGTATGACATCCAGTATGTTCCAAGGGGAGGCATCAAGTCCCAAGTTTTGGCAGAATTTTTTGTGTGGAATTCAGCTCGCCAATAGGTGAGAATGGACGCTATCGGTCGATGACACACCGAACATCAAGGGTAGCAGCACTGGGATAGTGCTAGAAGGAGAAAGTAACATATTAATTGTGAAATCATTAAAATTTTAATTCAAGGCCAACAACAAGTCATTGAGGAATACCATGAAGGTGAAAAAACACAATAAAGGGGGTTGAATTATGTTATACTTTTTCTTTCCTTTTAAAGCTCTATTCATATTTTAAACACTAAGTATATAATCTGAATCATAGGTGAGTGATAGCAGGGGATAAAGAATGAAAGAAAGAAAAGAGATACACAAAGTTATCATAGTTCCTCTCACAAATCAAGAGTAGTCTAGTACCTTTGTACTTACATGGGATTTTCACAATAATCACACAAGATCACAGTTTGCCCAAGCACACAAACAAGATACTTCCAATGCCTAAACATAAAGTAAGAGACTTTTATGCTCTAGCACACAAGAAATATACTTTCAATGCTTAAACACACAAGCAAGAGACTTTTATGCTCAAGCACAAAAGCAAGAGACTTCAAATGCTGAAACACTACGTAAAAGATTTCTAACAATCTACCTAACATATAAAAGATTGTTTGGGGGTAATACACTTGATATACAAGCATATGTGTAGACAAAATACAATACAAGAAGACTCTTTAAGACTTTGGGGTTTCTAGAATATACAAAGATAAGAGATCCTAAGTTAAACTTGTGCTTATGTTTTGATAAAGTAACTGCTTTTTTAATGTCAATGGTTTGTTATAGTTCTTTAATTCTTCATCTCCTTATAT